CTTTATGAAATCTACCTTTTAAATAAATACCAGTACCCTTCAGTTTTACTGAAATTGAATGTTGAGTACATTTACTGCAAGTCTATAGCTGAATGCCTTCTTCACAAGGTACTCATCACTAGTATTTATGGTTAGCATACTGCACAGTCTGTACAGCTTACTCTTTATTTAATAAAACTACTTCTGTTTTGAGAATCAYGAAGCTCAGATCTGCTGAGTCAGATGTGATGTTACCTTTCAAATGCTTAAGCTCTGCCACAAGATCTGGGAATTTATTATCCGACACAAATCTGTCGGGAATTCCTCTGCTGTCAATTGACCACAAACCATAGTTTAGGTGGGTTCAAATATTGCCTGTTTACTGACTTGCTACTCTGAGACAGCGCTCCTCAAAGTAGCCAGCTCCTCAAAGTAGCCAATCTGTGAACTTTTTCTGACTGGTCCAAGAATGAGATAAACATTTGTTGCTGAATGTCAAGCAACATAATGTTTCACTTATAGAAATAAAAAAAAATGTTGACTGAATTAAATAGTGTGCTTCACGATGTAGTTGATCKGCATGGTGCAAGTTCCTTAACTCTTATGCTGGTCTGTGAGCCACATTTTGGGTAGCCCTATTTAAGGTGTTTTATAAAGTTGGATGAATGGGTGAATGAATTAAACATGTCTAAGATGGATTGCATAGCTTGTCAGAGTTGGGGTGAGAGGATGGAGAGGAGGATGGTAATTTTTAAATTTATTTTTTGTTATTGGGGATTAAACCCAGAGCCATTTTACTCCTGAGATACATCCTGAGCCCTTTTTATTTTTTGAGAAATTGTTGAGGCTGACCTCGAAATTACAGTACTCCTGCCTCAGCCTCCCAAATTGCTGAGACTACAGGTGTGCACCAGCATACCTAGTAAGAGTGGTGATTAAATAAAAATTTCTTTTAAAATAGGACAACGTTCCTTGCCTGTTTTTGAACTGCCACAAGAAGGGAAGGGTATTTAAGGCACGAATAGCCTATCTGGTCCCTGTTGACTATACCACTATCATTTCMTGTTAAATGTGTTTTCTTCTCTTGCTTTTTGCCCTTCTTCCTGTTCTTATTCTTTTCCCCAAGTTTCTGGGATAGGATTTAAGGAAGAAAGACAACAATACATGGAAGGCTCATTGTATAGTCTGTGTTTTATATGTAATAATTTTTTTCTCCACAACTGAGTAACAAAGATATTATCATCTACTTTGTAAATGGTCAGAGAATTTCAGTTATTTTATTAGATCCCATGAGTAATAAGCRGTGGCACACTTCTGTAATCCCAGAGACTCAGAGACTGAGACAGGATGATTGTGAGTTCAAAGCCAGCCTCAGCAACTGGCAAGGTGCTAAGAAACTCAGTGAGACTCTGTCTCTAAATAAAATACAAAAAATAGAGCTGGGGTTGTAGCTCAGTGGTTGAGTGCCTCTGAGTTCTCCAGTACCCCCCAGCAAAGAAAACAAAAGGAGACAGAAGTAAGATGCAGAGGCAGCAATGGCTGAGTGGCAAAATGGCTGCTCATCTGAGTGGCTGGCTTTATATCAATGGGTTACATTTGGTCACAATGTAAGATGTTTTGCTTATGATTAGACATGTGCTTGGCCAAGCATGCATTGGTTATCTCAAGAGTGCCTGGGAAAGACTGCAAAATATACCAAAGGTGGGAAGCAGGTCCCACCTCCCCGAGTTTGCTCACTAAAGGAACGCTGCCTTGTAYATTTCCATGGTCAGAACCTCTACATCCAGACTCCCCCMCCCCCACCAAAAAAAAAAAAAAAGATCAGACCTGCCTGGGATTTGAACTCAGGTCAACTCCCGGTATCTATTTTCACAYCCGATGAAGGTGCTAACAGAATCCTGTTCTGAGACAGGATTTAGTAGGTGTGCATGCTGACACACTCACGCTTCAGTGTGGAGTTTTGAGCTCTGCCAGTTTCATTCTCAATACCTTTAGTTGCCACAATATCTGTATGAGATATATCTGCGTGACCCTGTGGGTTGCTGCAGAAGTCATCCATGAGCTGTGGGTGAACTGCACAACATTTCAGCCATTGGGCCGAGAAGGCAGGTCTTGGAAACTCCCAGKCAGAATCCACCGGTTCCAGAATGTCCAGTTCACTTTGGCGCCCTGTTCTAGTTCACCGCTCACGTTCCAGCCCCTGAGATGAGAGTGACCCACTAAGAGTCCTTATCCTCATCCATATCCTGTTTTCCATGAAGAAGCAAGCCCTGAGACAAGACTCCTCCCACACTGAAAGCTTAACCCTACAGATCCCTTTTGATCTGTACTGCCGTAATAAAGCAAGTCCAGGTGCCTTCTTTGTTAGAAGCTGTACCCCTCTGGTTGACTTAATCTGTCACTGCCTTCACTCTTTAAAATATGTTTCTRGTCTTTTGTGTTTATTTTGTGGTGCTAGTTTCATAGCTTTTATTTTGCAGCCAGCCCATCCATCAGATGGGTACCCATTCCCTTGCCCAGGCAGGACCTGAAAGAGAGGCTGTGAATGCCTTCATCTTATCCATCTCTGTATCCTTCATGATAGTGCATGGGGCTTTGAAACCAGACAATGCCATAGATTATTACATGGAATATTTTAGTAGATACTTCTTCATGTGCCTGACAAGGTAAGTTTTAAAAATAAATSAACAAATACTTCAACATGTAATGGTATAAATCTATTGAGTATGTGTGTTGTCCATCAAAGCAGGGCACAGTGAAGACAAATGCAGAATTTAAGAAGTTATCCTCCTGAGATAATATTCTTAGCATTCCTGGATTATGGCTTTTAGAACTCTTTTACCAGTCTRTATCCTCTTTGAGGACAGCAACTGGGTCTTTCTTTGTTGTTTCTCCAATGTCTAGTACATTCTCTGGTAATGTAGTTCCTATACTTGAAAATTGAGAATTGAACTGATAAATGTACTAGGTCCATAGTGTCTCCTCTTCATCTGCTGTTATTAATGTTCACCATCAATTTCCATGTGGCTCCTAGATTACAAATTGCCACTTCTGCTCCCGAGTTTCCTGGCTCTGATTCAACATTTTCTTTTTCCATGTCCATTTCCACCAACTCCTGTTGTGCATCAGGCACAATTCTATGATCAGAGGCACAACTGGGGAAGATGAGTGATATGGGAGCAGGGGACAGACAGTTGTTTCTCCAGGGCATTTGTTGGGGGCTGTGAATGAATTATGGGTTTGTTTGAGCCATCTCAAGGCAGGCATATTGCTCTTTTGAGAACTCTAGGTGAAATCCCACCAATTGGAATGGAGTTTGGATGGATTTGTGTCATACTGGAGGTACCTGGATGGATTTCAATGTTTGGAGGATTATATACACACACATTTCAGGGAGAAAAAGGGAGGAGGGTACTTTAAAAGACTGTTTAGGATAAAAGACATTATGTAAGAATAGCCCAATAAAAATAGTGCCAGGGTGCCAGGACTATAGGAAGGCATTATTTTAGGTTTTTGGATAGTTTTGCAGATTGCTTAGTTTATCTTCTGTTTTTTAAATGCAGACTATGACAAGCAATTCCAGAAGGACACCTGTGTTGAGGTCTCCAAGCACCCCCAGGTTTGATGATTCCTGGGAGGGTTCACAGAATTTAGTATATAGTTGTATATATGGCTAGGATTGCAGGGGAAAAATACAAAAAACAAAATCAGCAAAGGGAAAACACATGGAACAGCCTAGGGGAAATCAGATGTTAAGCTTCCAAGAGTCCCTTCTCAATGTTGCCACACAGTACACACTTACTTCTTATAGCACCAAACTGTGACTATATGAAATGGTGTATACCATGGAAGTGTGTGAAAGATTCAATGTCCAAGGTTTTCCTGGGGGCTGGTCATAGAGGCACACTTTGCATGACACATTCCAAAMTTCCAGATTCCGGAAAGCAAGCGGATGTCAATTATAAACTACGTTTTTTTTAGTTAAGGTAGTGTGAGCCACTCTTATCAGTTAGGGAATGATGGGATCCCTCCCCAAATTCAAGTCCCTCCTCCCCAACCTTGCAATCCCATAGGCCTTCCTAAGACTAGTGTCTGGCCTTCTACTGTTAATACTTTTTTGCATACTATCCCCCTATTTCAGTTTTCTGTGGATTTGCTATGGGGCTACAAGATGCTGGAGTGGTAGCCTTCATCATATCTCCATTTGATTCACCACTCTGGCCTCTGCAAAATTTAGACTGATCCCTATAAAAGGATCAGAAACAGTTCATATTCACATGGAATGGACAACAGTATGTAGTCTTGCCCCAAGATGTTAATGCTATTGCTTGTTATTAAGAAACCTAGACCAGATACACATTCTAAAGAAAATTAGATTACTACAAGGATGGATTGTGTTAGTCCAATGAGATGAGCAAGAAGTGACTAATAAAATGGAGGCCTAGATAAAGCATCCATACTCTAGAGAGTGAAATAAAAATCTATAAAAATTTTAAGAGGCCTACATATCAGTAAAAATTTGGGGGAGGTATGTCCAGTGATGTGGTACACTCTGGGACATCTTCTCTAAAGTGAAGACAAATTACTATAATTTGTATGCCCAACTCTGAAGGAGGCACAAATGCCTGATAGAYGTCTTTGGATTTTGAAGGTAGTCTATTTCACACCTAGGAATATTATTGCTCTTGCCTATACACTGGATGACATGAAAGTCTGTAAGTTTTGAGTGTGGTCTAAAATAGGGGGGGTTGTATGGCCAGTTCTTATTGTGGTCTGATCCAAGACTGTCACTTGGGTTATCCAACTGGGAATACCCATCTTTAGAGTTACTGATGGAGGGAAAGATGTGAAAAAAGTCACGACACATTACTACAGAAAATATTTTATTTTTCAAATAAATAATAGATTTTTCACTCAATTATTCTATAAGAATTTTCTTTTTATTAATATGAAATATATATTTAGTACATTTCATGTTTTCTCAAAATGAAGACTATGGTGTAACCATAAGTCTATTTTCAGAAATTTCAGAAATAGCAACCAAAGTCTATTTTCAGAAATTTAACCTGATATGAAGAAAAATACCACATCAAGTCCTTCACTCTGATTTGGTACTGAAGTTGAACTGGTAGTATTGGTGTGCTCTGGGATTTAGTGGCCACTACAAGCTTTAAAAAGCAATGAGAACCCTTGGGGCAGCCTTGGTTGGATGGGGGATGATGTGGTTTCATAACATACAGGACAGTTCTTCCCAGAAGAACTGGACTAGAATCTGTGGGACAGAGAACTGAGGTACATACTGTTTACGTATTTGTTCTGAGTGGCAGGAGGTAAGGGCCCTGACTAAAAAGTAGGGAAAATGTCTTCCAGGCTTCCTTAATCTAAGTAGCCAGTAAAGTAATGGACTTTGTAGATACTGTGTTTCGATTTTTACTTTTTGTCATTATCCACTCACTTGCTTTAATTCATATGTTTAGGAATAGGGTAAAGAAAAAGTCTCAATTTCTATCAAAGTATTTCCATAAAACCTACRATTTTACCCAAACATTTCATTAGAGTACTCATTAAATTAAAATAAATGAAGTAATGAAAGATTTTAGATAGAAAAAGAGGAAATCTAAGTGATTTCCTCTTAAGCATTATGCTTATCTTTCAAATGTGGGTAAAATCTGATTTAGAGGGAAAGTTTGGACTCCTATATAAAAAATAACATGCATTAAAACAGAAATTCTTAAATACAAAAAAACCCTCAAGTGACCACATCCTTATTGATATTAATGTAACACAAATAAAATTACCATGAACAAATTAGCACAAAATGCAGTTCATTTCTTATTAACACAACAAAATAACTGATACTCAAATGCTCACTACTATAGCATGAACTTAAGGCTCACTTATATGTGCCTCAAAGTACAGTGTGACTTTTGGCCAATATTTTTATCCTAATTCACTGTACTTACAGCTCTTAATTCCAGTTGTTTTAGTAAGAAATTAGGAAAGAAGATAAATTCCTGACACTTGGATCATTCAGAAAATAGCTAAGAGTTATTCTTTTGTATATTTGGTAAGAATCTATTCTAAAACTATTTTACATACCTGTTTTTCTCAATAAAAGCCTTTGAACAAAAAATCCACTCCTCTAGTTCCTATTTCCATTGGAGGACCCATTTATTATTTTTAATGATTTATTCTATATTTTAAAATTTCAGCAATAGTACCTTCTATAAAATACAAAGCAGCATTATAAGTATTCAGCTAATTCTGGCATTCAGATTTTGAAGATATACCTTTATGAAGTAAGTCATGAAGCAAATTTTGAGAGCTGTTAAAGCAACTAACCATCTAAAGATCAAATTTATGACCCTTTTGTTTTGGTTTTCAAACTACTCTGGTTTACATCAAAGTATCTCTCACGAGRAGGAATGATATACTGTATTGAAAAACAGATCTCATGAACGGTCTTCTTAAATTGGCTCTTAATAATTTTAAAATACAGAAAATCTTTACCAGGTGCTATTCTCAGGGTCAGTGGTATAGGCAGTAAAATGAGACTTATAAAAAGATCCAAGATGGATGTGTGTTATAAATGAATTCTGCTTTTTAGTAAAATACTTCTAAAATTTCAATGTACTTATCATAAAACCTATTCATGGTATTTGTCTGAAGCTAAAAATCTGATGCCACTGAATAAGTGTCTAGTTCCTGTTATTTTATCTTAATGTAGCTAATTTGATGTCATTTTCTTATTTCTATAGAATTTTCTTCAGATTTTAACATCTTACAATACTGACTTGGCACTAATTTAAGTTTGTAAAAACATAATTGTCAGAAGTCACACAAAAACATGATAACTATAATATTTCTGCACATCTTCAAAAAAGTCTTTGGAAAACAACTATAATGCATAATGCTCCAGAGAATCCTAAGTACTGTCAATGATAGATATTGTTTAGTGATGGTACATGAGAATTGTTTTCTAGAAAGTTGTATCAAGGTCAATTTTAGGTAGAACATGAAATTATTTCATGAAATATAGTATCATTCTATGCTCTCCTGACAACACTCCCAACAGAAAGCATTCAGTCTATTTGCTGTTTCTTGGCTGATCAGACATTCATCCTGTAATTCCCTGATTGTCTTCCTCAATGATTTTTGAAAATGTTTTTCTCGGTCTAAAACATTCCGTAGACTTTCCTTGGTATCCTCAAGCTCGCTGATCACATGATCTAATTTATGCTTAAGTTTCTTTGGACTGTCCATTACACTGTAGCTATGTTCCTAAAAATATAAACACCAAGTTATTAAGTCATACACACAAGTAGTAAGATAAAAGCTTATTACTAACGTCGTGTGCTGGGCATGGTGGCGCATGCCTGTAATCTCAGTGGCTTGGGAGGCTGAGGCAGGAGGACTGCAAGTTCAAAATCAGCCTCAGCAACTTAGTGAGGCACTTAGCAACTCAACAAGACCCTGTCTCTAAATAAAATACCAAAAAAAAAAAAAAAAAAAAAAAGCGTATTACTAGGCTTCAGTTGTTTCTTCATTTATGAAGTGTAGAGGTCTTTAAGTTGGTGATACTTGAAGGCTTAAAGAATACAGGAAGAGGATGGGGGTAGTAACAAAAATCAGAGTGCCTAGATTTCTCTTTTTCCTAAGGTTAGATATACATGAGTACAGAAYATTTGGATGGGAAGCATTTCTTATCTGGGGGTTCATACCTGCTATGAACTTCATGACACTACAACTATATAGCTTTCATTCGTTAAGTTTGGCAATGATAAGCTTAATTTTTATCTATCATATGCATTTAAATTGTTAAATTTTTAACTGAGTTACTATTTTAAAATAATTTAATCCTCTTTATTTTTCTTAAAAAATTTTTTTTTAGTTATAGATGGACACAATATCTTATTTTTATGTGGTGCTGAGGATTGAATCAAGTGCCTCACACATGCTAGGCAGGTGCTCTACCACTGAGCTATCCCAGCCCTGAGTTACTTTTGATGAATTTTCACTTTATAAAAGATGAAAAGAGTACTGGAGCAGGTCCTAAAGTTGTGTGTTAGKTATTTAGAAAGGACTTTGGTCTTGGTATTTTAAAGAGATAATTTAACTCCTCTCAATATTTATTATGGTTATACTTAAGTGTGCTGGGTATATATTTTTTTCCCATTTTCATTTGAAAATTGAGAAAAACACATATTTTATACAGTTACTATAATTTTGAAAAGGTGATGTTTAATATTAAAATTAGTGAACAGTTCTTTGCTTCTAGCCGAGATGAAGTAAAAGAGTTGATTGATTCCTACCCCAAAACAACAATGCATAGCCAAAAGACTTGAAAGACAGTTCTCTTCAGAGAACTGTTTAACTGATGTTGGGCAAAGAAGTTATCCTACTATCGTGGACAGAAGGAAAACAAAGAGRTGAGTCTCATGATTGCTCCAGCTTATTGCTTTTCGAGTTTGTAGGTCTCGGTATAAGGAGGGGTAACCCATGCAGAGATTGGCAGACAGAGTTGAGGAGAGAGTGTCAAATATCCAGGGATACCAAGGTGGTTAAAATTTAAGAAGAAAGTACGAGAAAGGAGAACGCCTCCTAGAGAGAAATCTCTGGAGATCTTCAGAGGCTTCACCATGAATACTGTGCTGATTAAGATAAGTACATGCATGTGAGAAAACTACTCAAGGGTGAGGAAAGAACAATCAGAAAATATTACAGTGCAAGGAGCTCATAGGGTATGGATACTATTCACCAGCAGCCAGATGTGAAACTTAAGATTTATGGAATACTGAGTAATGTACATGAAAGGATCTTGCCTCTGTAATGGATAATGAATAGTCCTAGACTAACACTGTTCTAATCCTGCCAAGAAAAACAAATCTGAAAGGACCAAACTGTTTCTAAATAACTGTATTCAAAAATAATGCTCAAGGAGAGAGAATACAAAAATATCTGGCATTCAGAAAATTAAAATCCACACCATGCAGCACACAAAATTTACCAAGTATATAAACAAGCAAAAAAAAAAAAATTAGCCACATTAACAGATAAACTGATTGATGAAAATCAACCTCAGAATTGATATAAATGTTAATTATTGGCACAGGAGGGAATTAAGGTTATTTTAAAAACTGTATTACATATATTAAAAAAGTAAAGACGTGAAAGATGTATAAAAGATTCAAATAGAACATCTGTGGTTAAAGGTTACAATGTATGGGGTGAAAAATACATTGGAGAAAGTGACAGATTAGATATTTCAGAAGAAAAGATTAGTGAATGTGAAGATCCAACAAAAGGAACTACTGAGAATGGATGAGAGAGAGAAAGAGGTAATAGTAAAAAACAAAACAAAAAAGAACAGCTAGTAGTACAATTCCAGACAGCCCTATCTATCTATCTATCTATCTATCTATCTATCTATCTATCTATCTATCTATCTGTCTGTCTGTCTGTCTATCTATTTTTTTCCCCCAAAGGAGAAGAACGGAAAGTTGGGATAGGAAGAAATATTTGGCCAAAATTTTTCCTATTTGATAGAAAATATGAGCTCAGATTAAAAATAAAAACAAAACCCTTCAACAACTCAAGAAATAAGTACAAACCCAAGCACAAGAAACAAACCAAGACAAAGCTAAACCAAGAAAAGCAAAAAGGCAAAAAGGAGGAGGAAAAAAAAAAAAAGGAAGGAAAAAATATAATAGGAGCTTTTTTTTTTTATTAGAAATAATGCATGTGAGGAGCTGGGGTTGGGGCTCAGTGGTACAGCACTTGCCTAGCATGTGTGTGGCACTGAATTTGATTCTCAGCACTGCATATAAATAATTAAAAAATAAAGGTCCAGCAAAAACTTAAAATTAAAAAAGAAACAATGCACATGAGAATACAATGCAATAACATTTTTAAAAGCTCTAAAAACAAAAACYCCCAAACTATCAACCCATAATTAAATATATAGTGAAAGTAATTTTCAAGAATGAAGATTAAAAATGATGTTTTCAGACATAGAAATGCTGAGGTAATGTTACCAGCAAAAATGTATCATAAATAATGTTAWAATAAGTCCCTCAGGCAAAATGATACCAGATGGATTGAAAAGCAGTGAAAATGGGAACTACATGAACATATAAGATTTTTTTCTTATTTTTWAAAAAATATCTTAAAAAAATATCTTATTGTTCAAACAAAAATAGTAACAATACAGTGCATAGTTTATAGCATAGGTAAAAACAACAACAGCAAAAGGACGGTGAGAGAACTGCAAGTATACTATAATAATATTCATATATATATGCATATACATATCCACACACATGTATATTTACATGTAAATGCACTATTACTTGAATGTAGTCTGTGATAAGGTAAAGATGTMTTGTTACAAACCTACAAACAACTACTAAAATAAAACAAAGAATTACAGCTTGTGAGTGAAAAAAGAAGATGAAATAAAACCATAAGAATTACTCAATTAATCCAAAAGAGGATAGAAAAGAAGAAAGCGGGAGAAAAAAGGAATAGGAACAAATAGGAAATAAGAAAATGACAGATTTAATCTTTACTATATCAACCATCACATTTAGTAAAAATGGTCTAAATAACCCAAATAAAAAGGCAGAGAAGATCAGATTGGATTTTATAAAAAGAGCAAGATTCAAAAGTATATCCTGCCCAAAAATATTGCACTTCAAAAATAACAAGAACAATAATAATAAGGCAAGGTACAGTGGGTATTAAATTATCTAGGTAAATTTCAGACTTGGTCTTCTACCAGATATAATGAAAGTCATTTCTTAAATATAAAGGGCTTATTTTATCAAAACATAGCAATCTTAAATGTTTATATACCTGATAACAATACTGAAAAGTATAACATACAAAACCACTGACAACATCTAAGGAAAATTACATAAATCCACAATTATCTGAGAAGATTTTAACATCCCTATGTCAAAAACAGACAGAAATTCAGTAAGAATTAGGAAGATTTGAACAACACCATCCATCACCTTGACCTAATTGAAACTTATAGCACATTCCAGGTAAMACCAGCAGAATGCACATCCATTGCAAATGGACACAGAACATTTATCAAGCCAGATCATATTCTGGGCTATAAAATACAGCTCAATAAGTTTAGAAATGTTCAACCTATACAATGTAYATCTTCTGACCATAATAGAATTAAATTAGAAATTAATGATATCTGGTAAATTTCTCAATAATGTAAAMTACATAATACATTTCTAAATAACCCATGGTTCAAATAACAAGTTAAAATATAATTTGAAAATGACAATGAAAAACAAAGAAATTTGTGGAACACCATAGTTTTGGAGTAATCAATACCACTAAAGCAATACTGCAGGAAATTATCATATGAAATACCTACGCTAGAAAGAAAAAAAGACTCAACAATGAACTTGGCTTCTACTTCAACTAGAAAGATGTGAATTTTACTAAAGTAAGTACAAAAGAGGAAATAACAGAGATGAATAGAAATCAGTGAGGAAGAAAGAAAATGAAAGCTACTTCTCTGACAAGGTCAATGAAATTGTTACATCTCTAGGCAGACTGATCAATAATATAAAAGAACAGAAATAAATTACCAAAAGAAATCAGAAATGAGAGATATGACATCACTAAAGATTTTATAGGTATTAAAAGGAGTAATAAGTAAATGTTTATGAATAACTGTGACGAATAGATAAATTCACTGGAAATCACAGCTACTAAAGAAGTTTTCTTTCCTTATAAAGAATAACCACTAGTCTAGACAGATTCAATGGAAGAGTATATCAAATATTTCCAGAAGAAATAGTATCACTGTACACAAAATTCTCCAGCAAATTGAAAAAGCTGGCAATATTTCCAACTCATTTTTTGAGGTATATTCTAATATTGAARCCAGACAAATATATTACAAGAAGAAAAAAAAAAGACTACAGGTTATATCTCTCTCCTGTATGTATCAAAAAAAAAAATTAAAAATTTAACATATTGAGTTGAACTTGAACAATATATAAAAGGGATAATGCATCACCACTTGGTTTATTCCATGAATAAAAGGTTGGTTTCACATTTGAAAACCATTTCTGATAAAACTGCTTAGCAAACTAGGAACGAAAGGGCACTGGACCCAATAAAAAGCATTTATAAAAAACATAGCTAGATCACATTTAACAGTGAAAGACTAAGTGCCTTCTTCCTAAAATCAAGAACAAGGCATTGAGATTAGGTCTTARTAATTATATCCATCATAGCCCAAGAGGTTCGAGGTGGTACAATAAAGCAAGAAAAAGAAATTAAAGGCATCCTAGAAAGGAAGAATTACAATGCTCTTTTTTTTTTTTTTTTAAAAGAGAGAGTGAGAGAGGGGAGAGAGAGAGAGAATTTTTAACATCCATTTATTTTTTTTAGTTCTCGGCGGACACAACATCCTTGCTGGCATGCGGTGCTGAGGATCGAACCCGGGCCGCACGCACGCCAGGCGAGCGCGCCACCGCTGAGCCACATCTCCAGCCCCTACAATGCTCTTTAATCACAGAAGATATGATGATCTGTGTTAATCTCTATAAAATCTGATAACTTTTACAAAAAACCTGTTATAATTAATGAGTTCAGCAAGTTTGCTAGATACAAGATCAATACAGGAAAATCAATTATATTTCCACATTCTAGCAGCAAAAAACAAAATGCCACTTTTAACAGCATCCAAAAGAAATACTAAGGGATACATCTGACAAAGYGGAATACCTATGTACTAAAAAATATAATACAACTCTGAGAGACCTAAATAAATGGAGATATTCTGAGATCACGTGTTGAAAGACTATTATTGTCAATTCTTCCCAAATGGATCTATAAAATCAACACAAAACTAGTAAAAATTCCAGCAGTTTTTTTTTGGTAGAAATTTACAAAGTAATTCTGTAACTCACATAAAAATGCCTACAAAGAATACATGATAGCTACAATAACTTTTGAAAAAGAATAAAGTATAAAAACTAATATTGCCTGGTTTTAAGAATTACTATAAAGCTACAGTAAGACAAATTTATATTCTAGATCTGACTGTAACATAAAAAGGCAACAAATAAATTAATGTAAGCTTGAATCTTTATGTGTGTATGGCTTTCCCACCCCCCCAAGGAAATCTAATGACATAGCTATTTTTATTAGATATTTCCGTACAGAAAACATATATTTAAGAATTATTTTCTTGGTAGAAATTTCCCTGTGAGAGCATTCTTTGAATTGGTTACATATTTATGTAACCAAAGGATTAACTACTTCTATATTGCTCTGTCTACATATAAATTACAATGGCCCTGGGAAGCAATACTATTTGGAGATATTACATATTTAAAAAATACGGAAACACTTAAATCCCCAGTTTTTGCCAAGATTCTGAAAAAGTCTGATTTTAACGGATAGGACACGTTCATCTTGAAAGTATTAACATTAGTTCAGTAAGCAATTTTACTTACAAAAATGAACTGGGATTGGAATTCTTCAATACATGAGGAAGCACCAACAAGCTGGTGACTGTGGTTTGTGACTGGAAGGGTTTTGAGGGTGAAGTTTTTTCTACAATGAATCTTTTCTCTTTTCTCCTGTTAAGAATAGTTAGTAACAAATCACTGAGACAGTCTATGTTTTCTCAAATTCTTATTTCTTAACTTTGTGTAGTGAAAGAAATACATTTATTTTCATGGAAAATTGCTTTTAGAAGTCAATAAATTCCACTCAGATTACTTTAAAAGGACTTCCTGAAAACAACGCGATAGTTCATCTGGAAACGAACTGTTATAAAAAATGAAGAGTGATGAGAAGGAATGAGCTCTACCAGCCAATAAAAACACAATACACAGTGATAAGAGCTAAAATAGTGTGCTTTCTTAGAACTAGACAGAAAAATCTAGAAGTAGATCACGTTCATAAATGCCTTTAGGATGAAAGTGGCATTCTAAATAAGTACAAAAAGGTTATAAATCACATTGTAAAAATCAAGCAGTTAAGAAAAGCAAAAAGGGTGCTGAAATCACTTAGTCAGGAGAGTGTTAGACTGAAGAAAAGTTATATCTTTTATATACAACAAACCACAATGAAATTCTATGTACTGAAAATTTATGTAAAAAGGAAAACCATGAGGAACTATAAAAATGTAGGGAATATGTTCTTGTTACTTGCATGGTTTGGTATCAGAAATTGTCACCTCTTACATTGTTTGAAGGTTGAAATAAACAATATGGTGCCCCCCGCAAAATGTAGGGAATATTTATATCATCTTAAGATAGAGAGGCTAAAATCATAAAACACAAGAAATTATATTCAACTGACTATATAAAAAAGTTTGAATTGAAAAATCAAGACAAAATAAACACATGCCATAATCAGAAMTAATGATAAACAAAGGTAGCTGCAACATAGATATCAGCTAAAGGATTAATATTCTCAATGTTTTCAAAGAATAGCTTAGAAAAAGATAAAGATACAAGGGGACCTGGATAAGTAACTCATAAGAAATATAAATGTCTAATAAACACATGAAAAAAAATGTAGAAATTACCAATATTCAAAGATAAATTAAAACATTAAGATTTCATTTTTTTCCCCTATCAAATTTTCACAAAGGTTAATAAAATAAGTTATACTAAGAATTGAGGGGGGTAGACACACTGGCATAGCCAGTAGGCTGGTGTTAAGTTTTATAGTGAGTCTTTGTAGATATGTATCAAGAGCAAAGCTTTAAAAACCTATGTAATCCTGACTTAACAACTTCATTTCCAGGAATTTAGTTCAATAAAATAAGGATAAGAATAAAAATTTCACTTCAATAATATTCATTTCCYTGCTGTTACATGATAGCCTATATGCAATAGTGAGGCTTGATTATATAAACTATTGTGCCTATATGCAGGATTAACTGCTCTATGGTCATTAAATATGAGCTATAAAGCTGACACTACCAAATATTGGCAAGAGGAATCCAAGGAACTTTTATATGATGATACTGTAAATTTGTGAAACCACTTTGGAAAACTATGGCAATATCTATTTAAATTAAACATACACATCCCAGGATCCAGCAAGTCTCATTTTTAACAGACGTATCTACACATGTATTCTATAAAAAATGTGTACATAAATCCACCAAAAGACATGAACAAAAATGTTCACGGTTGCATTTACAATAGCATCAAAATGAAAAAAAAAGGAATTCAAATGTTTACCAACAGAATGGAGAAATTTGTTTATTAATATAATGGAATACTATATAACAACAAAAATAAACGGACAAATATCACATGCAACMTAGATGAATCACATAAAAGACTGAGCTCAAGAAGCCAGAGTACAACCCGTAGGTAGGACTCCATTTATATAACCAATAATGATAGAAGTCAGGATAGTAGTTACCTCTGAGAGGATAGTGACTCAGGAAGACCATAAGGGAAGCTTCTGTGTTGTATTTTGTCTGAGGGGAGCTTGATGAGTATATTTACTCTGTGATTTACACATTTAGGGTGTGTTCATTTTTCCATATACATACACACACATATAAGTAACTTAAATTAAAAAGAATGATATTCTACATAGATTTCTCTTAAAATGGGATCATAATCTGCAGTACATTCACGTGGGATACTTGTTAAAAAGTACGGTTGCCTGGAYTTTAACCCAAAGAAACTGAATTAAGTTCTCTGGGAGTGGGCCATAGGAGTCTGTATTTTAAAAAAATTCCTTGGATAACTCTTATGTAGACTAAAGTTTGAAAGCCATTGTTGTGGGAAAGTATTTAATATCATGGAGAACAGTAGTTAAGAGTGAATTCCAGAACTCAAATGTATATTTTCAAATCTAGTCTCTGCTGTTTTATAGCCGTGTAACTCTACAGGAGGTATTCCAGCTCTCTGGGTCTTAGGTTCCTAAAGTGATAAAATGAGAATAACAATAGCACTTACCTCATGTGGTTGTTTTGAGGACTAACTGAGTTAATATATATGTAAAATGGTTAGAATGGTGCCCTGAAACAGCAAACACTATATAAATGTAAAAAACACAAAATAAAATAAGCAAATAAAGGACACTGAAATTCTATAACATTACCTAAATAAACATTGATGAGTTTATACAAAACACATCCAAATGACTGGAAAGCTCCACATCCAAGTGTTTACATTATTATTTCTGATCTGATTATTCTTTTTATTTAATCTTTTGCTTCTTTACGTAAATTYCTATTATGAAAAATCTATTATAAGGAAATAGTCTTTGAAAGTTAGCATYTTATGGCTTATTTATTATCTTACTTAATAGATAGCTGACACTTTGCTGGTAGGAAAAATCTTTAAAGCAAATTGCATAAGATTTTGTACATTTACTAACATGGAAGAAAGTGAGGCAGTCTGTACTTAATTACTCAGGCACTGAATGTAACCAGCTTTAGAGAGTGACCAAGACTGCATGGGAGCAGGTGCATGTCTGGATAATATTTTTAGCTGTCAGGAAGGAAATACCTTTCATACTTCTTTGAGTTTTCCATATTTGAATCCATCAGTCAGTCCATACTTTTTGGAAGTAAGTACATTCTTACGTATCTATGTAAAGAGATACTGAGGGGAGGAGGCAGCTAACCCATGGCACAATCAGGGAGACAAAAATATTCTTCTATTTTCTTTTCTTGACCTCTTTCTCCTTTATTTCTCTGTTCTTATCCTTCTCTCCTGTTTTTTCTTTTTTTTGTCCTATCCAGGCTTTAAGTTTCTGTGTAGTGGCTGCTCATGGAAGTATACTTTGGACCTGTAAGTAATTTAGCTCTTGATTTCTTGAGAACTGCTAATTTGGAATTTCTGTTCAACCTTCTAAGTTAACCCCCTGCTTTTTAGACACAAAGAGTTATGCCAATTCCTAAAGTTAGTCCACTTTACCACATTATAGGAATGAACCAATATTTATGAGTGGCTACTGATAAAATATTCTTACCATATATCGTGAAAGCTAAAGCTGCCCTCTGTAAATTTAAAAGTCCCCCAAAATGTGCTTCAAATGTATAAGCAAACAATAAAAACGTAGGCAAAGAATGGTGCAAATTCTTCAAGGTACCATGGAAAGTGAGTACTGATGACAAGCAGCATCTTGTAAACAAACCTGTAAGTGATATGGGGAATCAAAGATAGAAGGGATGAYTCCAGGTTTTAGTTTAATATTTGGAGCACTTCTGTCAAAATCTGTCTTCTTAAAGTGTCTTGAACATAATACATCTCCTTTTTTAGGCTCCCAAATGCCTGCAGCATTCACATCAAGTCTTTTCATTGCTAAAACCCATTTTCTTTTGACRTTTTCATCTGTGGGGAATCTAGGAAAAAACACAAAAATATTTTAAAAACAAACACTATTGATATATGCCTGAATTAAATCTGTCTTCTATGTATGTGGCTAAACTGACTCCTTAGGTTGTTATTACTCTTGAGAATTGCAATATTCAGGAAACTATGATTCGTGCTGCATAACTTAAGTTTTAATATCCAGATTTTTCTGCCAACCATTCTGTAGCCAAATGGACTTCATTTAAATTTTTCTGAGAGTATATGGAGGAAAAGTTCCAATGGATATTTAGCAACTGAAGAATTTTTTCATCTATAGATGATAAGGAATATCACTTGGGTCTTTTCCTATCTGAAGTAATATCCAGAATTTATTTCTCATGAATAGGGCCCTTTTACATTCATTCTTCTGTCAGCATTAGAAAATTRCTTAGTATAGAATTTAATATAGAGCAGGTCCATAAATGCTTAGCGAATGTATCCAGAGAACAGCTAGCTGCAGGACTAAGTTCTGTAGATCAGAAATATTTTGAGAGAATTGGAGGCCAATAATTTTGTCTTTCCCAATTTTCTAAGCTGGTTGAAATCTTTTTGGAATAAAGCAGGGTACACATATTTATTTTTTTATTTCCATATACCTAACAAAGCAGCTAGCAGTTCTTTCTCTAGAAAAACAGTATGGTGCTTGGCACAAAAGCAGCAAAATAAACCTTTAGGAACTGAACAATATTAAATTCTATATTTCTCTCCTATGGCTGTTAGAGGAATGGCTAAAATACTAAATGTGGCTCATCTTGGTTTATTCTGGAATGCAGTTAAGAACACTCACTCTGAACTCATATTTATATTTTACAACCTATGCCTGATCTATTTCTAAATAGAAAAGAATATATTTAAGCTAAGATTCTTCATTCAGATTGTAAACTACATGTAAACATCAAACTTCTTTAAAGAAAATACAATGTTAAACAGAATAATTACATTAGCAAAAATGAGTTTGATGATATTTGTTGAAGTCTCTGATACCTTGGTGGTTATCTTAAAACTTTTACACTAAATTACTTATAATTTACACTTTTAAGTGTACAGGTGTGAAATTTAACTAGAAGGTTATTTAAAAAGAACTTGGGGGCTGTGGCTGTGGCTGTGGCTGAGCGGTAGAGCACTTGCCTGGCATGTGTGAGGCACTGGATTCTCAGCACCAAGTATAAATAAATAAAGGTCTATCAACAACTAAAGAAATATTAAAAAAAAAAAAGAAAAAGAAAAGAACTTGGGAACTAAAGTTCTAAACTGAAGCCTTAGGTAGAACAGTCTACTTTTTAATACAGTCAAAAGAACTTGGCTTAACTACAGCAGTCTTACACATGAAATGTCAGTCCTTTTAACTTGGAATTTGGCAAACAGCGAGAAGCACATCCAATGGCTGAGCAACATTTCACCATGATTTTAGCAACTCATAACAGAACTGAAAGAAAATTAAAATAGTAAGAGTTAGTAACTTCAAAGCTAAAGGGAACATATTTACCTTTCCCAATACCTTCCAGGAAACAAGAAATCATATTAGAAAGCCAAAGGGAAGTATTTTTATCCAACACCTGCCAGCAACTTTGCTCATAAAATTTTCTAAGGGCTTGGCATTTTATTAATAGGACATATTTATCTGTATCCCCTGAGAGTATGATTTCATCTTTGTAGACATATACATTTTCCTTCTATCTCCTTACGGGCCCAGAGCTGTCTGCCCTAAGCCTTTGCTATCTCCTGGCATACTATCTCCTACTCATCTTTCAGCTCCTGTCTGCCTCACCAGGGAAATCTTCCCTGAAACTTGGATTAAGGCAGATCCCCTCTAACATCAGATCTCTCAGAATACACACTTTTCCTTACAAGTACTTCTCCAAATGAAAAATCTTACATTTACTGCAGGGATTTTCTGATTGTCTTTTAACCCCACTCGCTGTCAGTTCCATCAGGGAACAGTAGGCATGCCTATTTTTTTTTTTTCACTTTTTGTCCTCACGTCTTGGCTGGGGACCTGCACATGATAAATGCTAATGCATATTTTGAAAGAATGAAAGAGCAAGAAAAGGGACTGGAACGTGGTGCAGCAGCAGCTCTAGTTCATCAGCAGCGAGCTCCGGGCCCCGCCACGGGCCGAGCTCCGCCCCTTTCTCGAGGCGCTCCGCCGCCCGAGCGAGAGAGGGAGGGGCCATCAAGTCACAGGTGCCGATGCGGCCGGAGACCGTCCCTTCCTCAGGAGCCACCAGGCGTCTCTGCGCCGCTGCGGTCCTCCTCGCTCCGAACTACGCCCCGGGATCTGGGCGGGCGGCGATGCCAAGGGAAAAGAGCCAATCTAAGAGTTATTACCGTTAGCAGCGAAGACGACGACTAACGTCGAAGACGGAGATTGCGTCTCCCTTCGCTTCCGCCCCATAGCCCCGGGAACCGGAAATCCGGCTGCCCCTGGTCACGTGATCGGCCGCCATATCTATTCTGGTGTCAGCTGCGGCTGGGAGGGGTATCCGAGCGACGCTTCTTCTCTGGGCGTGGTTTTCCACCCGGGGGAAGGGTCTGCGGAGTGTGAGGGGAGGTGGAGGAGATGGCGGCAACTGCGCAGGAAGATGGCGTTCGCAGCCAAGGGCGAGGGCAGCGGGGCTGCGAGCACTATGACAGAGGATGTCTCCTGAAGGTGACGACTTCAGTGGGCTTTTCTCCGACGAGCTTCCGCTGGGTCAGGCTGGGGACGCGATGGGCAAAGCGGTTAGGCTTAAGATTTGTTTGAGGTTGAGCTGTTTGTCAGGATACCTGCGCCTCCATCTGGAACTAGGTTCCACTAGTAGAGAACGTTTTTGTCAGGGCGACCAKAAGCCCCACGGTTCTTTTCTGTTTTTGTACTTTGCAAGCAAAGCCCTTCTTGTTTGGTAAGACCTTGGGCTTACACGAAATTAGTTTACCAATGGGTTTGTGAGTCTTTCGCTGTTGGAAGTAGACTGAGGCAGCGTCAGGCCTGAACCAGGCTTGTCTCCAGAACCACCTTTCAAGTGTATGATGAAATGAGGATAACCAAGTGGAGAATCGGAATACAATTTCAATTCCTGGAGTAAAAAAACTTTACAGCCTGCCAGCTTCATTTTAGAGTCAGTGCCTATGCCCAAACCTGTCAATGAGAAACAGTAGGTGTGAGATGGAAGACAAATCATGTGGTTACCATTAAATTGGAAATTCGGTATAGAAAAGTGCCTAGAATGTATTGTTATTTTTGCTATTTACTTTGAGAAGACGTCTTAGTCARTCTAGAGCTTTTTAAATTGGCACCCATCCAAATCAAGTTTCATGATTTTTCTTGGAAGAAGCATTATAAAGATTTTACCAAGAAAGCCTGAGCTTTTGGGCTGGTAGTGTAGCTTATTACTAGAACATGTGCTTAGCATGCGTAAGGCCAACGAGGCCCTGGGCTCAGCTCCCAGCAACCTCATCCTCCAAAAGAAAGCAAGCTTGAGTCCTGTAGCCTTATCCCCAAGTCTTACCTCTGCCCCTTAATATTTCTGTGATGTTTGAGCTAGTTAGCATGTAAAGTAGGGATCTTAGAAAAAGTATGAGTATTRCCTATTAAAGTGTGTGTGTAGTGTTTAGTAGCTGCATTCCTGGAGCCAGTAGTGTTAATTACCACCATCATGAATATCCACATCATTCTTACTTTACCAATCAACTCTGCTTATCACCGATCACAGTAATTAGAAGCAAGTGGCAATCTCAGGCTTGTGAGGACAGCCCATGTAGGCTATAGTTTGGTGATCATTGTTGCACTGCACTGATTGAAGCTTTTTCAAAGTTGTTCATTCATCAGATGTGTAAGGAAATTGAATGCTAWCCTTCTGATTACATTTTTATTTAGATGTTCTAGTCTTCTTTCATACTTGATGTCTAAAACCTAATGTTTAATATCTTGCCCTGAACCTTTCCAAAGAAACAACATAACTGAATCTAAATTTTGTAGCACTAAAATTCTTGGCTCTGAGCAAGTATCATGAACTTTGTTGTTTCTCCCCCTCCTCTCCCTTAAATATCAGAGGCCAAATGAAGAGTTTCAAGGAGGAAATGATCAACTCGATTAAGTGGAGCTGTTTGAGTAAGATAAGAACTGAGAATTAATGTTTGAATTTGGCAAAGAGGTCAGCACTGGTGATCTTGCCAAGAGAATTGTAATGGAGAGATCAGGATAAAGCCTGACTGGAGTGGGTACAAGAGAGAATGGAAGTGAAACTGAAAATAACACAGACCATTCTTCAAATTTTTCTATATTGAAGAAACCTGCGGGATCGGAGTTTTTTCCACTTCAGGATAGGAGATGTTACAACATGTTGTATATTTAAAATAATTTAGTAGAGAACAATATAATCCAGGAGGAAGAGGGAAAACCATAAGGGTACTGTCTTTGAGTAGCCAAAGGGTGATGAGATCCTTTGCATAAGTGGAGAGGTTGACTTTAGATTGAAGAATGAACTGACTAAAGATTCTTTGTAAAGGAAGGGAAGGCTGAGGATGAAGTATATTAGTTGGTTGATAAAGAGTTCTGGAAGGATGTTTTCCTTTGATTACTTCTGATTAATAGTGAAGGAACAAGGGTTAAGAGGGAGGAAGAGGTTTTAGAGTTTTAAAGAGAGAGAAGATATGAAATGATCATCTAGATTCTAGATCTTTGACTCTAGAAGAATGAGGGGATTAACTAAGGAACTGGTGGTAAGATTCTACTTTTTGAGTGGTTTTGACTTAAAAGGGAGACCAGACAGTGTGGTGGTTGGTGGTTTTTCTCTAACCATGGTCAGCTGCTTCTGATATAGGTTGAGTAGGAAAGAGTTGAATTTAACTYGGGTTGATTTGGCAGACATGTAGAGGAAGATCGAGGAGAGAGCTAGGGAATACAAAAGGGGAGACTTGGAGTTACTTTGAAAGAGGAGGTAATGGTTAGAGATTTTCATGCTTGAAATTGAATGTAAAGAAGATATAGTCCTTGTTCTGAAGCAGTGGTTTTCAGAGTGTAATGAATGGACAGAATGGACCACCTTGATACKGTGAGGACAAAACTACTTTCTAAGGAACACTAGAATATTGTTCATTTCAGTATGTTGACATTTGCACTTATGGTGGAAAGGCAATGATTAAAATTGTTAGCACCTGTGCATCAATCAGACTGTGGTACTGAACTAATACTACACATTTTAAAAAATGCCCTTTTGACAAAAAGGAAGGTTTTTATCAAGTGCTTTGGTTGTCTTAAGGAAGAAGCTCTTGTGCAATTGGATTGTGAAGTGAGCTAGTTGCTTTTTTCATGAACCAACTTTTTTTTTTTTTTCTTAAACTTGGAAAAAAAACAAAACCTGATTTAGACTTTGGCATTTGGTAGACAGTCTCAAAAGAGTCAAGACTCAATACAAGAAAAACAATTGACAGTATTTGTTGCCAGTGATAAAATTTAAGCTTTTTGCAAAAACTAGAATTTTAGAAAACCCTTATTAGCTTTTGTGAGCTTGAAAGCTTCCCAATACCTAATGATTTTTAATGATTTTTTTTTTTTTTTTGTTGTTGTTGTTGTTGCAATATTGGGGATTGAACCTGGAGGCTCATATATCTTAGGCAAGCTCTGTACAACTGGGCCATATTGSCAGCATAAATGTAACTTTTTGATTGCACGTGAAATGTGAAATTTGGAAGATCTACATAACTAAGTGCACTGGAGTGTTCCAAATGACCAGTGCATGGGTAAAATATTAATTCCAAGTGCAAGATAGATAATGAATTTTAATGAAAAAAGAAGGAAAATTTTATTGGTATTATTTCAGATTCTGTGTTACTGCCAACCTTTAAGATCTATTAAGTTTTGGTGTAGTATAGAATATCCACAATTCTCTGAAAAGGCTATTAAAAAACTTTTCAACTTACATATTTGTGTGAGACCAGAATTTCTTCATTTGCTTCAACTACAGCTGATTGAATGCAGAAACAGATATGTGAATCCAGCTATTTAGGGGGAAAGAATAGTTATTTTTCATTATAGCCTGTTGTCTTACATGTAATGGACTTGTTACTTTTATTTTTTCAAAAATAATATTTTAGTCAGATGTGGTGGCTCATGCCTGTGATCCCAGTGGCTTGGGAGGCTGAAACAGAAGGATCTTGAGTTCAAAGCCAGCCTGAGCAAAAGTGAGGCACTAACAACTCAGTAAGACCCTCTCTCTAAATAAAACGTAAAATAGGGCTGGGGATGTGTGGCTGAGTGGTTGAGTGCCCCTGAGTTCAATCCCTGGTACCAAAAAAAAAAAAAAAGAATTTTTTTTAAAGCCTGTCACTTGAATATATCAAAGACATAATCCTAACATGAAAAGCGTGTTAGGATCCTTAATAATTTTTAAGAGGATAAAGGCATCCTGAGACCCTGTAGAACAATGTTCTGAGGTATAACTCTCTGTGAGGAGGATTGGAGGACTAGGCCATTGAAAGTAAGGAAGGCAAAGAATTGAGAGTTCAGGCTGTTGGAATGATTCTCTTTGCAAGGATGTAGATCACTAAGATTGAGGACAAGAACAGTGTTGGAAAAAAAGGAAGTATTAAAATCTTTAAAGAATGAATTATGTTGTGGGTATATCATGGCATAGGAAGTCTTCAGAGTGAGAGGATCTGCAAGATTATAGTATAGTACCRGGTTAGCTTGTACTGGTTAGCCAGCAAGATTACAGTATAGTTTTGATCTGGAAATTTGTCTCTCTCTCTCTCTCTTTTTTTTTTTTTAATATTTTTTAGTTGTCAACAGACCTTATTTTATTTATGTATATGTGGTGCTGAGAATCGAACCTAGTGCCTCACACATGGTATTGCAAGTGCAATACCACTGAGCCACAACTCCAGCCCCTGAAAATCTCTTGATATACTACTAGTTAGGGTGAAGTTAATGAAAAAACCCAACAATAATGTTTAAAGAATAAAAAAAGTTTGTTTATTTCTGCTTAGCAATTCCAAGATGAGTGGTTCCAATTAGTGAGGAAGCTTTGTTGAATGTCACCATTCCATGTTTTAGTGCATATTATGTCTGTGTGATCCAGCTGTAGTATAGCTGGGTTTTCATGTGTYCAGGATGGAAAGAGTAGCTTTTTGGGGACAACTGGCAGTCTTTGCCACTCTTGAAAATAAGAGCTCTTTTATTTGTTGCATCTGCAGTATTAAGTAAATAGTTGATGATTAATGAATATTAGTGAAACAAAAGTATAATATTCTATGTGTAGGGGTTGAAGTATGTAAATGCATGTCCAAGATGGGTAGCCTGACTATTGTTTTTAGTAGATTGTCAATCTAGGTATTTCCATCCTTCTTAATTCTTGTGTTGTAAGAGTGTTTTTAACTTTATACAAACATACAGATATTGAAGGGAATCATTAAAATAATGATAAAAATAAAATAGTCCAAGAAACAATGA